TTTTCGTGCTGAGCTGTGATTTCCTGGCAGTTGCGTTTTTTTTTTTTTTTTTTAAATTTATTTTTAATTTTCTTTAGTTTTTTTAATCTATAATGAACCTGGTTATTGTTGCAGGCAGTGCACCACCGATGCATCTTGCTCCATCCCTGCTGCCACTGCAAAAGCACGTCCTTTTTCCCGGGAAGAGCCGCTGCCCGGTGGGCTGGAAGCCAGTTGTCTGCTCGCAGCAGATGCCAGCGGCGTGGCACAGCGTGCCAGGCCAGTGGTGCCCACACCAGTGGCGGGCAGTCAGCACCGGGACGATCAGGGGCTTTACGTGACGAGTTGCTGTGGTGTTCAGAACCCCACCGTCTCCTACCGCGTCCTTCCATGCGTGCGTGCCCGCTCGGATGAGTGCCCAGCCATCTGCTCGGGGGACCACCCGCTCCCCGAGATGTCCCCTCGGTGTTTCCTTGGGGTTCTGTGATTCGTTTTGCAGCAGGAAACACCTTGTTGTGCCAGCTGGTTGCCTCCATCGTTTCATTTCTGAGAACTTTCCCTTTTTTACATTTTTTTTTTCAGTAATTTAGGTGGTTGTCAGCACAATGTTTTCCCCCCTCCGCCCTTGGAATGTTGGTATTTAGTCAGGTAGAATATGGTCTTTGTAATGGCAGTTTTGGGCACCGAGGGCCAAACACCACTTCTGTGTTTAACACCTAATTTGGCAATAAGGGAAATAGGATTAATTTCTGCTCAGCTGCATCCACTAACGTGTTAATTCTGAATATGCCGAGTGAACTGTCAGTAAGAGGAGGATGTTGATCAGTTTTTTAACAGATAGTTCAGCTGTGCATCACTTTGGTAGCTGTTTTATGCTTTTTTGTGTGGCTCTTTCAGCCCTTGCCCTGCACCTTTGACCACCTTCTGTAACCGTATTCAGCTGAAAGTCGTTCTTGTCGGTTAAAAACGAGCGATACCTATGGAGCCTGTTAGATGGCTTTGGACCTGCTTGCAAAAAAACCTTACACGTGGTTTAAAATAAAATAAAATGAAATGACTTTGCTCGAGGCAGTTGAAGACATCGCGGGGTCTGGCTCAGAGCAGGAGGACCTGAAGCTGGAGCACATCAAAGAGCTCGCGGGCTTTGAGCGCGGCCGGGGCCGGTGCCGAGCGAGTGTCCTGCAGTCGTGGGGGCTGGGGGGGGTGAGATGGGTCAATTTGTCCTCTTCCCAAATGCCTTTAGCTCCGTTGGGTACTGCGGATGAGCGGTGAGCGCGGGGTTGTGGAGAATCTGGTTGCCAGAGCAGGTGATCCCGTGCTGGGGCAGGAAAGAAAAGGATTTTTCCGTGCAAGGCGTGTTGAACCTACAGGCTGTTTTGAGCATGAACAGAGTAAATGAGTTCAGAAAGGGATTAGGCACGGGTGATGCATGCCCAGAGGCTCTGGTAGCCGACGGCTCGCTCGGGACGACCCCAAATCACTGGCACTGAACAGGTGTAGTACAAGGTGGATCCTTCTCTGCTTCTGCACTGCTTCCCAGAGTGTGTCCCGCTGAGGAGCGAGCGACAGGGTGCTGGCCAAGGTGAGCTCCTGGGCTGTCCTGGTGTGGAGTTAAAATATAAAAAATAAAGGAAAAAAATACATACACATATAAGAAAAAGTGTGTGTGTGTGTATATATATATATATGGAAGTATGTGATTATAAAATGTGTGATTTTGCTCATTGTGTCGTGAAGTTTGAATCTTGGAGTGATTGCTGGTGTCCTGCTGAGCGTTCTGCCACTTACCACTTGTCCTGTGACAGCTCCGTGTGCCTCTTAGTCTTGACCACAGAATGCAGCGTGATGGGTAGAGCAGAAACATTTGTGACAAACTGTTTTTCGGCCACCAGAGCAGTCAGAAATCACGTTAGAAGTGTGTCCAGCTGCGTTTTTTGGAGCTACAGGGTGCGTTCACAGCGCTCCTGCTCTTTGGTTCTTGGCAGGATCGGGAGGGAAACCACTAAATTAACGTGACATTAACACCAGTTTGATGGTGGGTTGTTCTGCTCTGGTCTGTGGAGAACTGGTGCTTGGGGCTGGTGGGTTTTTTTTCCTTTTTAAGCTTTTCCTCGTGGTGGTGATGGTGTAACGCAGCCATTGCACCCCAGAAAAACAAAAAGAAAAGGGGAGAAAAAAAAGAAGTGATACAAGTTCCTCTGAAAACTCCTCATTTGATGCTAAAAGGCAGTCTCCAAAGGATTTTCCGTTGTGTGACACCGTTACAGGGTTGAATTGATCATGGGGGGTTTGAGTTCGTGACGAAACCCGGGATGATCTCAGGCTGCAGCCGTGGGCTGCGGTGGTTTTCCCTTTGCAGGAGGACAGGGGAGCGTGTCCTTCACCCTGCAGCTCTCCATCCATCTCCGTTGGCATTAACTTTTCCGATCCTTCTCCTTTTCCAGGTCCACAGCAAAGATAAAAAATACGTCTGCAAAGTGTGCAACCGAGTGTTCATGTCTGCGGCCAGCGTGGGGATCAAGCACGGCCCCCGCCGCCACGGGGTTTGTGCCGATTGCTCCGGTCGAGGCATCGCCGGTCACCTGGACCACAACGGGGGAGAAGGGTCTCCCGACGAGTGCTACCCCGGGGAGGGCCAGTACATGGAAGACCCAGATGACATCAAAGTGGAAGGAGACGAGGAGATGGGAGACGACGACGACATCAAGTGGAAGGATGACGTCGGAATGTCACAAGATGACGTGATTTTAGATGACGACAAAGACGTCGACTCTCCGCAGGAGCAGGACAACTCTGGGGAGAACGACAAGGATTTTACCTGGATTTCTTAGGGATTTTCGGGGGGGATTTTTGTTGCGCTCTGTTGTTTGTAGGGGGAGGGAGGGCGGGGGAGGAAGGAGTGTGTTGGAAAAACTAAGTAGCCTTGTTGTCGTCCATGTGTGCAAAATAACTCTTGTTGTTTTCTAAACAAGTCCTTCTCTGTCCCACTCAGATACTGTCTTAGCAGCGTCGCTTCCAGCGACGCGACTGACTTCGCCTTCCCCCTTCTCCGACCGCGGCCGCCGCTCCGGCC